GGGGGGGGGGGGGGGGGGGGGGGGGGGGGGGGGGGGGGGGGAGCAGAGCAGCCGAGCAGAGCAGCCGAGGAGGAATGCAGATTGTTTCCATGTGTGGGGAGGACAGGAGAGCCGAGTTGGCTGCAGGCAGGTGCGGTTAGCCCCTAATGAGAAAAGTTGTGTTGGTGATGGAGGAGGCCCAAGACACTGCAGCCCAGTGGCAGAGCGCAGCCAAAGCCCGAAACCACAATGTAGCTCACTACTGGCCTCACACGCTGCACTAATACACACTGTGGGGCCGAGCAGAGATAAATCAACGCCGCTGGAGCTGAAACTAACTGGCACTGCTTGCATTCACTGTGGGAAAACTACTGTGGTACAGACACTGTAAACCAATACTGAAACTAAAGGCCTTGAGGATGCAGGAGGAGAATGCAGGCGGGCGAGTTTGCAAACAATTGATGGGCAAAATCTTGTCTATGACACATATTTGATTCCCCATGTCCATTATAATATTCCTCTGCAGTTGTTATATTATTAAGACTATTGTATGTATGTAGATATATATATATATATATGGATAGATAGATAGATGGCAGTGTGGAGTAGAGTACAATGTCAACTCAAACAAGCACAACATTGTCAGAAAAGATTTTTTCGCATTAAAAAAGCTATAAGCTATCAAGGTTTATTCTTGACCTTGGAAATAGTTTGACAAAACAATCCCAACTCAAGCTTTTCTTTCTCTTTAGCTTTCGACCATAACACACAGTGTTTGCTCAGTTTTCATGGACATCATACGTGGATCTTTTTGCCTGCAAGCGTGACATCGCCTCTAGCAGCTGCTGAGCTTGCATGTAAACGGATCCATCTCCATTCAAAACTTAGTTAACTCCATCCACCGATGAAGACTGTGCATTGTGGTCGAAAGCTCTGGAAAATGGACTTTTGAGTTAGGATTGGCTTGCCAAAATAAGGGCTTGATTTAGCTTAACGATGCAGGCAACCGACGAATATTCAAACTGTTGATCAACCATGGGCAGAATCACTGAGTGCAGCATGTTGCCAACGCAGAGCCATTGTCTGAGTACTGCCTCTGTATCACGGCCTTCACTCTGAATCACATGCTTGTCTCTGTAAACCTGGAGAATGCTACAGCAATGGAGCGGAGTCACGCTAACAGCGGGTGATGAGTGAGAAACAAAAAAAAGGAAGAAAAGGACACAAAAACAAGGAGGAGGAGGAGGAGGGTGTGAGAATGTTAATTAAATGAGGGAGGTTGGCGGGGTACCTGAGTCTGCTGGGGGATATTCAGAAAGTTGTCCCGTGTTCCGATGCCGACAAACCGGTTGGGAGCTGTGGAGCCTGGCGTGGAGTATGCTATAAACAGAGAGAGACAAGTGTGTACATGCTTTTTACACACTCACATACACACCGAGCTCAAAGTAGAGTTTGATGCTCTCATCATCGTTATCTATATGTTTGAGTATAATCAATCTGCTACGACTACGAATCACTGTCAAATGATCTACGGGGAAACGACAGTGAGGGTCAGGGATACTGATGCCCTATTAGTCACTTGGGTGATTTATTTTCAGTTTGTGGGCTGGTTTGGTTTATTGTTATTATCCTTCACTTAACCGTTTAATCTGTTGTCAACAAGGGGATGTTCAGTCTGTTAGGATTAGCACTAACATGAAGAAGCCATTTCCCCGAATCTGGCTGCGCTGTTAGTCACAGACGCTCCTCAGCAGCCCCTGGCCTCAGTAGTAAGTCTCCGTAATCATAGAAAAACCACTGAGGATTCACTGTGGGCTTAGTAATAGGGAAGAACTGTATTCATCACCAGTGGTAACCAATGCTCCATTTACGTTTAATGGGTTGAGAGGAGCATCTTGCCTACAAAGCGACACCATTCAGTGATGCCACAGGATCAAATTTAGGGCAGTTGTAATCACTTGGACTCCAACGTGGCGGCTGAGTGGAACTTTTGCTGTGCATGACTTAACTGAGGTCGAGGGGGATGGGGATGCGTGGGGGTGACAGTGACAGGGCTGGAAACTGATGCATGAGTGAGGGTGAGAGTGTGCCATATGCATGTGTGTGCTTTTATGAGTGTAATTACGATTATCTTGAGAATCAGAGACAAAATTAGAAAAAAATACAGTGATAACAGTCACTGGAATGAGAAGAGAGACGGAGAGGGCGATATTTATTTATATAGATGTTCATATAAATAAATAATAACGTGATAATCTGAGAGAGTTGGAAGGGGAGGAAAGGTTGATAGGACAGGAAGAGGAGAAAAAAAGTCAAAACAAAAGGAGGAGAACGTGCCCCCGGTTGCTCCGTCCACTGCCCCCTTCTTGGTGTGCCTCTCCCGTGGCCCGACTCTCGCACTGCACCTGTCTGGGTGGATCCAACCAAAGCCTCACCGCTCCCCGCTGACACTCCTCTCTCCCCGCTCCCCCAGAATCGCACTAATTAGACAGGTTTGATTCCATTTTATCATTCACGTTTAGAGAGATTGGGTCGTTCTTGTTACACTGTGATTTCCATGTTTTTTGTTGTTCTCAATTTTTAATTGTTGTGAGATTTGTGTGAAAGTGGCGAGGGGATCGGGTGGGTAAAGTGGGGCATGATGTTTTTTTCTTGTTTTTTTTTGGAGTCCACGCCAACTGCCCTAATTTTGTTCCCTTAAAAAAGAAAAAAGAGAGAAATAAAGGGGGGGGAAAAAGAAACAAAGAAAGGAGGATATGAGAATATATCAAATAAAGAAAAGAGGAAGGCAAAAAAAAAGAAATGAGAGAAGGGGGTAGATTGTATTGCCGCTGACACAGACAGACATGCAAAGTCTGCGTTGATCAAAGGCTTGCGGCTACAGAGGCAACGTGCACAGGGCCCTGCTCTGCTCTGCTCCCCCCAAACTACAAAACACATCAAAAAGAAGGGAGGGAGACTACACTGCCTCTTGTGGTGCTTGCAGGAAACCGAACACCAGAGAGAGAGAGAGAGAGAGAGAGAGAGAGAGAGAGAGAAAAAGAGGGAATAAAAAAGATTTTTTTTAAGGAGAGAGAAGGTGGATGGAGGAAAGTAGCTGAGGAGGTTTGCAAAGAGAGAAAAGAAGACTGAACTTCAGAGTGAGAGATGCAGAAGAGCTTGAAAGAGGATCTCTGGTTTGGCAAAGGCGTGGCTTCTGCCTCGACAGAACTGGATCTGGTTAGTACAGTACAGTACAGTACAGTACAGTACAGTACAGTCCATAAGGTGATGGATGATTTAGGAGTGAAGCTCCTGGGGCTGCTGAGTGTTTGACAGCTAGACTATGAAAAACTACAGCAGTCATCGTAGAAGTCCCAGACCTGAGCTCTTTCACTGGCTGCATGACAAGAATACAGAGAAAAGGCCCAATGCTGCTGCACTGCACATCACTACTGGGACTTCTAGGATGGCTACATTTGTTCCAGTCTAACAAGCTCGATGTAGTATTGCTTGGAACGGAGGACAAATTAGCTGCCAGCTAAGAGCTAACCAACCTAGTGGAGGCTAAAATCGGCTCGGACTGAAGTCCGTGGGGAGACTGGGCCAGTAATGGGGGGTTTTGTGGAGGGGAGTAGGAGTGGGGAGGGGGTGACTTACACGGAGATGCGGGTGAGCTGAGTCCGCCGTCAGTGGGCGTGCTGATGATTTTAGAGTCGGGCATGGGGAGGGGCACAGGGCGTGCCACCGGGGGTGGCGGGGGCAGCAGGAAGGAGCCCGGCATTTTGCTCTGGCCACCTCCATTAGGCTGCAGACGGACCATACAGACAGGGTGAGCATGACACACCCCGAGAATATACAGTGCACAGGGAGCCAGACACACACACACACATACACACACATTCTCAATGTAAGACACTCATATATAGACAGATGCCACACAATTATTCTTAAGCACGCTCAGACAAACCGAAACCCACGTGACTGCTCGCACACAGGGACAAGAGAGATCAGCAAACTCACACATTAAAACAAAGAAAAAACGACAAAAATATCAGTCTGGCTGAAAATAGTGAGGTAAATAAGATGTGGAAAAGTGATGAACCTTGTCAACACACGAGGGGAAAAGAAAAATGGAGTTGTCCACAAGGAAAGTTATTATAGTGTGATGTAAGGATTAAAAAAAAGAAGGGGAAATCAGCAATGAGAAAAGGGTGCCTGTGTGTGTGTGCAGTGTATGTGCAATTTCATAAATCATACGGTGTCTTTAGTGTGTGAAGTACTGAGAACAAAGGATAATAGGACATGAAAAGGGCCTGATGTGTGGTGTGTCAAGGCCAAGTTTACAGTAGAGGTTCACAGCACTACCAGCACCCTACATCTTAGTGGACGTGCATCGAAATAATGCTGGCATTTCAATAAACGGCATGTCAGTGGGGTCATCAAGGGGGCCCCTCCCTGCACTGATGTTTCACTGAATTGCCCACAACACCTCAAAAAGCCGCCCCCCCCGTGCTCCAGTTAGCTTCCGCAGTTAGTTTCCTCCTCAGCCACTCACAAGCGTCTGCTACTTCCCCCCGGACACATGGAATGTTCTGATCACTATTCTTCAACTCTCCTCGGCACTTGGACGTATGTCACGGTATGTTAGTTTCAGATAAATTTGATTTGGTTACTTATACTTCCACCATGCGTTGTGCAGAGGAAATTGTTACAGATCGCAGTGGAGACTGGGAAAGAGGTGCCCCGTGAGAGAAGAGCATTGTTAGAGTGAAGGGACATCACTCACAATGGCGACGGGTCAATGAGGGCTTGTTAAATGGCTATTGGAATGCACCACGAGAGTCTTACATGTCTGCTCCAGTTTCCTTCCACGGATACCTAACTCTCCAAACAGTGCTAATCTGTCGGTCTACACACCAGTCTCTGTCAAGTTTGCCAGTATCGCCCAGGCCATACATGACCTGTCCGCCCAAAAAGGGCTTTTCCCTGGTATTTTCAACTTGAACCTATCCGCAGACAAGATCTTCTCCTACCCAACTGTGGGAGTAGGTACCGCATGATACGTCGCTGAACGTATCATGAGTCAAATGTGGTTTGGCTCCCTTAGTTTTCTGCAGATGCTCAAGCACATCTGGTTGCCTCCTCCTGTTGATGGATTTGCCCTAAAAAAAAACATTTTCCTCTTCCTTGGCGAAGTTGCTTCACTTCATAAAGATGTCTGATTCCTAGGTCAAGGGTCACATGACCTTGTTGCACATGCATATCTCACAAAAACAGGATGGAGCGGTCAGTCTGTATACAGTAATGATGCTGATGCTTTCTTGTGTTCTCGTCAACTTTTGCACCGCAGACCATCCCGCTGTCCCCTCCCTCGCCCTCCTTTGCTGAACCCACAGAGCACTTACCTGTGCGCTGGGCTGCCCTGAGCCGTCGGTGCACACGAACTGCACAAACTCCTTAAGCGGGTCCTGGTGGTGATGGTAGCGTATGGTGGGGTGGGTGAAGTACGGGCTGGACTGCTGGATGATGGAGGAGGATGGGAAGTGCAGGGCTGAGGCTGAGGCACGGGGACTCCCTGAGGAGGAGGAGTGAAAAAGGGGATAGGAAACAGTAATGGTAAAGGAGAGGAGGAAGAGTAAGGAGACAAGAGACCAAAAGAGGAAAAAACACAGTGAGGCTCAGGTCATTCTATTGTTTTTTCCTACAAAAGACACAGAACAGATGTTGAGCATACATAACACTCTGCACACTATGATATCAGATTAACATGCACACCTATGACGGAATACAAGACATGCATATGTTTTAACTAAGCACCGACGCAGCTGGCATCAAAGACCAGGTTGCCGCTTCGGCCTATTATTGTCATAACATCCAAAATAGCTGTGACATTCTCTTGTGGTTGACTGACTGAAGCTGTTACTGCTTACAAACGACTGGCATTATCCCTGGCTATTGGGCAACATCTGGTCCTATTTGTTTTATAAATCAGCCCACTAGATTTCTCTGTACCTCTGGTAAGCCTGGCACCAACACACACACACACACACACACACACACACACACACACACACACACACACACACACACTTTCACAGTCCCATACACGCTTCGAGTGTGTTACAGTATTTTCTGCCTTCTGCTCCCTCTCCATTTCTCTCTCAAGTGCGCACACACACACACAGACCGCTGGGGTACGACAGAGCCACACACACTGGGTTTTTCCACTTTTGTTTTATTGCTTGTCGGTGATGTGTAATCAATCAGCAGCATATCCTTGCTGTGCGGTTCTGCCCAGTAGTTTGAAGCTTGAGAGAGAATCTCCCCTCCGCTCCCAACCGACCACAAAACGCCTCCCAGAGACATTAGTCAGCCAGCCAGCTTACCACACACACACACACACACACACACACACACACACACACACACACACTAGGCTCCACTGTCTGTCTTGTCTGCTGAGATTCTATGGCTTTGGCAATTTGGCACACCAAACCAAAAGAGGCAAGCTGCTAGGTGAGGGGGAGCCTGGCGAACAAGCATCTGTGATTATGTCTGTCACCTAACATCTCTTGTGTACGCTGTACTCACAAAGTGTCTGAGTGCCGGTTTGTTCAAACTTTCGGTGTTTTGGTGTTTGGAATCCTCTGCCTCTCTGTCTGTATCTTAGTTTGTATTTTTTGCAGCCTGCCCGTCTGTCCGTCTGAATGCGCTGCTATGTCTGTCTTTGCACGTAAACTGGTGCGTGTGTGTGAGTGTGTGTAGTCGCGGTCACAATGGCGGACTCTCCAGACTAGTATAATCAGACAACAGTCAATCTGGCAGCTCTCCACGTCAGTCCGGAGCCAAAAACAGGACATAAACCATCCAGCCCTTACTCCTGAACACCCACACTCACTAGACCTACACAACAGCAGCAAACAGCTCGGGTCCATCCAAGGCAAGCCCTGATTGCTAACTGCTCCCCCCCCCCCTCTGTCTACCCCCATTTCTCTTTTCATCGCTCTCCGCTTCCCTCCCTCCCATCATCCTCCAGTCTCTTTATAGAACCAAGGCCTCCGAGGGACATTCCATTTGGACGGCAGCCATTTTAGCACAGTGAGTCCTCCAAGAGAGTGTCAATGTACACACACATGCGTATCTGTGTGTGCGTGCACAAATGCACCCATACACTGTCTCATTACAGCCTCTCTGTTACATGAAAACCCCTCAGCCAACAGTGTGCGTGCACTGTTTGGAGAGTGTGAGAAGTTAGTTGGGGAACAAAGAAACCTGAGCCGGTCCCTCACACCTCTTCAGCTCGCGCACACAAAACAAGAGGAGAACATTTTAGAAATCAATTTAAGTGCAATATTCAATCTGGTGTTTTGGGATTCTCCAGAGGGCACAGGACTGCTCCGTGCAGATGAACGACAAGGCTTAACGGTGCGAGATCCGGCCGGGACTATATTTTATAAATATACTGTGGGGAGCTCCGCAAGTTAAATTCAATATGTTTCAACACGGAGGGCAATGAGTCCAAATGACCTTTACATGGTAGGTCTGATTTGGCTGTGGACCAAACCATCCCTCTGAGAGACAAATGGAATGAGAGGGAGAGATAGAGAGGGGAGGACATATTCATTCCTTTGAAAAGTGAGACCTGCCTCGAGGGACTTTTTGGCAAACTTGAGATCCTGGAGACTTTGGGAATTCTCTGACTGGAGATGGAGAAACCGGTTATCCTGTAGGACCGAAGAGCTCTTATGAGGACAAATTACCCTTAAAGCCTCTCATGAAACAAGACCTTGGAAACACTGCAAGAACTCTATCCACTGCTGTACTGTGGGTTCAGTCTCCTTTTCCAAATCTGTATTTGCTAAACTCTCTCAGGAGTATCCGACCAAACATCTTTTGAAGAACAAAAGAAAAACGGCAATGGTGCCTCTGAATGTAAAGACCCATCCACACACATACAAAAAGAGGCACTGGGAAGAACCCGACTGATCGACTGGTTGTTTGATGTCTTCTTCTTACGTATATAATAAAGAGTGGAGGTAGCTGTTTCCAAGGTTTTTGATCTCACTAGTGCAATGCCCGTTCAGAACAGACTTAATGTTTGGCTCCCGGCATTGCCGCTGACAGCCAGGCAGCAACATGCCAATGCTGAAATAACCTAAACTAACATTCTTTCAAATAGCCAGCAGGGGGCGTGGGGGGCATGGCCACCTTGTGATTGACATGTTGCTACCATGGCACAGTGTGTGAAAGTTAATTGTAGCATTTCTGGTCGCCTAAAGATGTCCTATTCAGCATTTGGTTGTACTTAGCTCCACTCTCTCGTGTCACTTCTGGTTGCAAGATGGCGACGGCAAAAGAACAAAATGGCGACGGTGAAGATGCCAAACTTCAGGCCTCAATTTCGCAGTCAACTAAATAATGGTCGACAGACAGATGGGGGGGGGGGGCATGATTGTTTGTTGCACGTGGCCGTTTGGAAAGCGAGCCCCTTCAGAGGGGGGCCGATCGCTTGGCTCCGGGTACTGGACGTGCTGCAGGGAAGTGGCGGAGAGCTTGGCTGTAACGTTTGTATATCCAGCATCCAGCAGCAAGAGTGAACTGCAGTCAATGAGCCCCGCTGCAAACCAAATGCTCAAGTCGGCAGAGCCCTGGAGCTCTGCTCGACTGCTACACAGAGCGCTGTTCGCCAATTCATTCAAAGTGTATTAATATTGAACGTGTCCAAATTGCACCAAATTCGACAAGGCACTCAACGGGGTCCCAAGCAAAACGCCCACCAACGTGTCAAGTAGATCCAATGAACGGTTCTCCAGATATGCGAGGGACACACGGACAGACAGACAGACAGAGATTCCTTGCTTTATAGTTAAATGTCACTCTACATACAAGTGTTTTGTCTTCTTACAACATAAATTAAACTATATTGTGTGCTTATAGCTCCATTTGGTAAATTAACACAGCCAGTCAAGTTCATTACATGAGAATAAACAGCTTTGTCAGTTAAAATGCAAGAACTGAACAAGAACATTACAATGGATGCATGAAGCAGTAAGTTGTGAGGCAAATCCGTCACAAAGGCATGGATGCAGCGATGGTACCATGCAATGACAATATTAAAACACAAAGGCACAAAGATAATGGTAAAACAACAATGGATGGATGGAGAGAGGCTGAAAGAGAGAGAGAGAAATTTATGCCAAGCCATGATGATAGCAGTAACACTGAACAGGTGAAACTCTGTACTTCTCAGCAGTTGCAACTGTAGGATCTTAAAGTTTTATCTTGCTTTCTCAGCAAGTATGTTTAGGACTTTTAATTTCAGGCAAGCGATTGTTCAATTTCTTTGTTTTCCAGAGGAGTTTGGGGTGTAAATATGGCAATCTAGTATCACGTTTGACACTCCCTTTCCTTCTCTCTCTTTCTCAGATTATAAAAGGGGGGATCGGGGTTGTTGGGTTCATGGCAGGGCTCTCACCTGGTCTCACTCCTGCCAGCACAGGCAGCGGGTGGTGTGTGAACGCCATGCGGGGGGACCTCGTCTGGGAAGTCAGGGCGTTGAAATCAAACTTCCCCGGCTTCTTAAGTGAACCAGGCGAGGACAGTCCTGGCAACAACAAAAAAATGGGATCAACAAAAAAAGTGGGAGGGGGGGGGGGGGAAGAGGGAGGAAAAGAGAGAGGTGGTTTTAATCAACAAATTGTTGCTTCTTTTATTGGCTTCACTAAAAAAATATATATCAATTTGACTTTTTGTTGAAGGGGACTTTAACAATCATGATTTTCTGATTAGATTGTTTATTTTCCTCATTGGTTGATGGCAGTGCATCAATCCCTGTCCTTTTAGCTGTTGGCCATTCACTGTTATTAGTTTCAATGACTCAATCAGAGGACTCTAGGCTGTCGTAAGTCATTCAGAGATATACTGTAGGACTCCCAACTCCCAGCATTATAGTCGTATAATAAGGGCTGAGCCATATTTCAAATCCTAACTGCATGTCTTCAAAAGAAAAATGGGAGAAATATCAAAAGCCAATCTGAATCTGGTCTTTGTTTTTGGAGCCAAAGCACATCTGTCGCTATAAAAACCTCTTTGTGCCACTGTATGTTTTTTTCTGTCTCATCTCTGTCTCTCTGTTTCTCTCTCTCTGTCAGGTGCCAACTGCAGGCTTTCTCTGTGCATGAGCATGGCCACCGTACAGCCACAGTCAGCGAGTTTTGGTCTGGCTTCAGTGCAGCTCACAGGCTGGCTGCACGAGAAGAAGGCTTCATTCAGAAATAGCACACACTGTACAGTATGGACACGGCAGCTGCTGAGTGCGAAAGACAAGCAGACGGACAGAGAGAGGAGACAGAGGGAGAGAGAGGCGAGAAGGACGTGGGAGACATGAAAATATGCAAGGGAGCGAGGGAGCAAAGCAGAACCTGTGAAAAATGCAGCAGCAGTCTTGTTTTTCAATGCGTTGCTCTGACGACATGTATGAAATTGGAATGTCATAAGATGTTAAATATGGTTATTATCTCTCGCTCACACACACTCGCTCACACACTCGCTCACACACTCGATGGCTGAACGCGCTCGAAAGCACAAGCACGTGTCCAATCACAAAAAACAAAGACCCTCACAACACAGCTACATTTAACTGATGAAACAGTACAAAAATATATCTTTTCCATTAAGTTTTCTTCTAATCTTCCTAACAAGTGAGTGATGTGATAATGTTCTCTTTTTAAACTTTTTTTGTCATTTTTTTTTTAGACTTGTTTTGTAGTCTATTTCTGTGGCCCCCTCCGCATCAAACAAGGCATTAAATATGATTCCTCCTCAGTTCTCCAGCTGGAGACGTGTGAAAGTCTATGGGAGTGTGGGGGCGTGTAAAACCTTCCCTCCCTGTGTGAAAGAGTTAAGTCTCAAGCAGGTGGGAGTGAATATGTGTGAACCATTTATGTCTTTTGCAGACATATATTTCTTCTTCTTTTTTTTTTTCTCCCCCCCACTGTAGCGGGAGTCTGGGGGCGTATTGTACTGTCAGTCAGATTCCAAGCATGAAGACAACCCCGATCCCACTTCTGACACCACTAGTTAGCAGTGATTGCTATGACACTGTCACAGTGGTGGGAGAAAACTGGAAATAAGAGCATTCTGCACAAGGAGAGGCACTGGAGGGGAGAGAGCGGAGAAAGACTGAAAGCTGCAAGGAAGTGTAAGAAACCAGAACCTTACAGATTATTCATGGTTTCAGTGAGGGAGTTATGGGCTTTTATTTTGGAAGTATAAAATAATTCTGAAGTATAGAAATCAGAGGCAGGAGACAAAGAGAAGATCAGATGGAGATTGACATCTGTATATATCGGAGGTTTGAGCAATGTGACTAACACAGAGTGAATGTGAATGACAGTATTTCGGTGCTTCAGAGACTGTGCAATGGCCTGATCTGGTTTGTGTGTGCGTGTTTGTGTGTGTGTGCCACAACTGCACTGTTTCCTCTCCTGGCAAGCCTTAGTATTTCACTGGCAACCAATCAAGCGCTCCCAGGATGACCCTTCTGTCTCTTTGCACTAACAGGCCTGCCACCAGATGCGCCTCTGAAGCACACATAGACGCACACACACACACACACACACACACACACACAGAGTTGGAAAAGACAGGAGATAGTGGTTTAAACAAGTGAGGGAAAGTCAGGGAATTCTCCTCTCCCCGGTGATTTAAACCACATTTGCACATCCAGCCGTATCCCTCTACGGGCCTGTAACATTTAATTCAAAGCACCAAGAAAAGGCCCCCACCACCACCACCCCGAGTCTCTGGTGTCTCAGGAAAATTTCACAATCATTTGGAACTAATATGAAATCCTGGTTGTTTCGTTTGCCTCCGCTAACCTCCCCCACCCCTCTTCCAGCCCCTGTGGAGCAGATGTCTCGAGCATCCTCACGGATCCCAAGGCTACACACACACGGAAACACCATCTGGGACCATGCTTCAGCTGTGTGCGTGTGTGTGTGTGTGAGTGGGCCGTGAGATATGTGTGCAAAAATCTATCATGTGTATTTCCGAAAGTAACCGCTTTCGCGTGATTCCTATGTATGGATACATCTTCATACATCAGTGTGTGTGTGTGTTGCTGGATGTGTGTGTGTTGTTGGTAATGGAGGGAGTCAGGGGGAGTAGACGGTGCTGTGGACAGACGGCGAGGCACACCTGTGTGTGAGTGTGTTGTCTGATTTTTTTATTTTTTGTTAGAAGCCCCTTGGTTTGTTTGTATGTGCGCTTGTGTGTGTGTGTGTGTGTTTGTGCTTGCTTGTTTACATACCCCCCGCCTGGACGGGAATACCCACATGAGCTTTGCCTGTGGCAGGTGGGATAATTTGGAAAAAATCGGATACACACCGTACCAAAATCACACACTCTCTACTCGCTCCGTTCCTCCATCTCTCCTGCCTGCTTTGGTTTCTCTCGGGCGTGGACCATGTTTTGCGCTAGCTGCTGTTAAAAAAAAAAAATCCAAACCCACACGAAATTAAAAAAGAGAAATGGCTGATAATTACAAAAGCTTTTCGCTTCCTAATTTTTCACTTGGATTTTGTAAATTAATTGGGTAAAGGGTCCAGATTTGCACGCTATTCCACACCTCTATTTGCCAAACTCATTAGGAGGTGTACGCGTCTGTGTGTGGTGCACTTTGGAGAGTAAGGGGGTGGTGCGCATACACAGCGAGGAAAAAGAGAGAGAGTGGGAGACGGAGGAAAAAAAAAAAAAAAAGATGAGGCTCTGGTGCGCTAAGGCGTGCAGCAGCCTCTGTTGTGGCTCTGATGAGCAGCCTCTTAATTACATTTACAGCTAAGTGGAGCGGGAGCAGGAGAGCAGCCGCTGAGGCTCGAGTGCGAGTAGACTGGGGCAAAACCTAACCAGGGCTTTTGGCTCCTCTAGTTCACATCCTGATAACCCTTCTCTCTCATTAGCTATCACCATTCCAGTCCGCCAAAGTCGTCCTCTCTTCCCGCTCTCACCTCCCACTTGCCTGCTTTCTGCTTCTCTCTCCTCCTTCTCTCCTCTGATATGTTTTCTCTACCTCCCAGCTCCCCCCCCCCCCTGCCCCCCCTAGGGTCCCTCCTGCTGTACACGTTTTCAATTAGACAGCAGGGAGACGGGGATGGAGGGTTGAAGGGAGCGCTAGGGAGCAGGAGGAAGGGTTTTACACCTCTGATCCACAGACGGTAAGCGTCTTAATGAGGGATTTGAAGCAAGGGAGGGATGGAACGACAGAGGGATGGAGGCAAGGCAGGCACCTGAACACCTGCAGGGGAGGGCACCACGATAAGCAGGTGCTTCTATGTGCGAACGTCTGCACGCGGGGGGTTAGAAGAGTGTGAGTAGCTGTGTGTGCATGTGTGTGTGTGGGGGGTCTGTAGGTACGCGAGTGAATCGCTGTGCATGTGCAGAACGGGCACAGCGTGTGAATATGCCTGTTGGTGTCGTCAGCGTTGGTCTGGTGACATCTGTCAATGAAAGCTGGGTGGAGAGAGAGCCAGGGATCTTAGGTGAGCTAAGTGTAGCCTCATGTTTCACGCAGAAAGTAGAGCCTGAACAGGATCATCCCTGACTGTACGTCACAGGAAATGACATTTTAGATCAGCAGCAATGAAATCAATCTGATTACAACTAAACATACTATGACACAAATATAGTGTAGTCCCATTTTGTGGGACCACTGTCCTTAACACAGACATCATACAACCAATATATAAACATAAACACACACACAGTATACGTATATCATATACATATGCACATTCATTGTATATATATATATATATAGTATATATACACATACATACAGAGAGGAATGACAGAGCTACATAAAGGCTGATAAATAGCAAACATGTCAAGTGAGTGTAATCAATGTTGTTCTAACCATGGTAAGGAAACTGCACGCCATCGTTTTCATGTTTTATCTTCCTCTCCTGCACACTCGCCAAATGGTGCTGCACTGAAAGTGGAGAAGGGTATTGTTAACAATGAGATAGGGAGAAAGAGAATAAAAGAATGAGACAGAGGTAAGAGTGAATGCATTTGTGTACGATGGAGGCAGTGGATGACTGATAATTGACAGGTAAACTGGATGTGGGATTATGGCTTTAGGCTGAGGATGAGTAAATGTGAATTTGGGAGTGAGGAAGTGAACAAGAGAGGGTTTTTATTTCTCTTGGAGTTATTGGGTTGTTTGGGGGGGGGTGGATTACTGAGGAGGTAGAATAAAGATGGTAATGTCCATAAAGCTGAATCACAGAGGTATAGTGGTTATGGCCAAAACAATGGAAACTCAAACACAAAGCCTTAATACAGGCTGCTGTAAGCTGGTGTGTCATCCTTGATTCATCTCGGCATTTATATTCCCGACGTCTGGATCTATTTGGCGGCTAGCATTTAGCACCATTTATCCATGATGAATTCAATTTTCTGAGGTTATAGTAATAGTGTTCAAAAATGGTGACCAAGAAAAAAAGGCCAAGACTATAATTTAAAACATGTTGATGCTTTAAAAACCCATTTACTGAACATTGAAGGTCTTTGGTGTAGAAGGGTCAGACTGAGGTAGAGGAAGGCGGGTGGTGTTTTTTTTTTTGAGGGATGTGTTAATCACCAGAGGGAAGGCAGGTGATTGAGGTAGGAAGTGTGGAGAAGAGACAAAGTCAGATGGAAGCATCAGTTTGGACTTTGGTGGTGGTGTGAAAATGTTTCATGACGCTTGCGTAGTAGGTGACAGGTGTAGGGCTGGATAAAGGGGGGGTGTGTGGGGTACCTGCATCCATGTCGTTGGGCCACGCACTGGACTGGGAGGAGCTGGCAGCGGGCGAGCGTCCCGGGTAGAAAACATCATCTGTGGGGCTCTCCAGCTCACTGTCGTCTAATGACTTCCTCTTGGTTGAGCTGAGGCCGTGGGGGAAGGATGAGGTGGGAGGCAGAAAGAGGGGGGGGGGAGAGCAGGCATGATTTTCTTTTAAATATGTAATGGCAGGGAATGTATGGATCAAGGATCAAATACCTTGCAGAACTGATAACTTAAAAGCAATCATACAAACAAGCACTTTAACGTTTCAAGAGGCTTTACATCTTAGTGGAAACGATAGAACTATCGTAAAGAGCAGAACAGACACAGCACGAGAAAACTCTGAATGAAGAAGGAGGAAACAATAAGAAAAGTTAGGAAGCAGAGACAGCCACACAGGAAGACTCTCTCTCTTTCTGTGTGTGTGTGTGTTTTTCTGTGCGTGTGTCTCATTAGTTTGTTGGTGTTCATAACTACCTCCGTGGAAGGTTTGCGTACAACTCCACGTCAGACCTAAAGTGACAGCAGACGACAGAGGTAAGAAGAGAGAAAGAGACAAGTTAAGAAAAAGACACAAATGAAGAAATAGAGCATCACACATTCATAAAGAGGAGAGCAGCTATCAGGGAGACACACACACACACACATATGAAGAGGTTCAGGACAGATTCCAAGACTGGGAATGGACTGTGGCACTAGATGCCATTCATAGCGAGAAAGCTCAATGAAACGGGGCACTTTACTCGCCAGTAAAGTCATCCTTGCGGTACGAAGCGATATACGGTTGGCAGATATTACTGTGATTTCACACTTCCCTCCAGTCTGCCCTTGGCTTCACAGCGAAGCACATACCAAGGTAGCACTGCTACTGCCACATGGTCTCTAGACTCGACTAATGGCGGACAGCTGGACTTGTATAATGGTCACTGGTGTTTCCACCGAGCAGCATGCATCTCCTAACGCCCGTACACTACTACGAAATCAGAGTCTGGGCAGTGTACCTGGTGGAAGGAGGGGAGGTGAGGGAGCGTCGCCCCAGAGCCACCTGGTTGATGTTGTAGTAGCTGGGACTGCTGTCCAGGTCAGCCAATGAGAAGTTAGGACCTGACGCCGTGGCTACGGGTGCTGACAGGGAGAGGAATAAAAGAAAGAGGGGCAGGGAGAAAAATGAGTTAAGATATGTATATACAGAGGAAAATAATCATCCATACAATTACATTGTGCCTACATACACTTAGGATGCATACACTGGATTGTGCAGTATCAAAATGGTGCAGTATCAAAATGGTTCCTGTTTTGTTTCTGTTTGTTGCCGTTTTTATTCCCAATCAGAAAACAAATACGATAATTTTTACTACTTACTCTGCGACACTCTGACAAGCTCTGCCACGTTCCACACCCCTGAGGTGACGAAGCAGTCCTGGAAACTCAGGTGCCCTGTGCAGAAGAGCATGTGATCAGGACTTACATACAGGCACAAAAAAGATTTGGAGAAAAATATAATATACTGTATCAGAAATTCAATGGAATTGTGTTTCAAAGAAAGAAAAAAAAAAGAAAAGAAAAAATTGGAAGAAACCCTGAAAATCACATCCCTTTGAGAGGGCGACCATCTGCAACTATGTTTGTGGATCAACATCTGTGTGAGTGTGTTTGCTAATTGGATCCATAATTGGAATATGTTAAGACTGATAAGCATGATGGAATCAATTCTGGTATGCTGATTTGACAGTGTTTGGACATGGATCTGTAAGTGTGTGTGTGTGTGTGTGCACCTACCATTGGGCGGTGGTTTGATGTCTGTGTCCCCCTGTTGGCTGGAGCTGTCTGATTGTCCGGATTCTGCACAGAAACAGGGACAGGGAGGGGACAGAAGAGAAAGAGCCAAATGGTTAGGATCCGGTTTGTATGCTACAAAAATAAAATGAAAAAAAAAATAATGAAAAACATACTGGTAAGTGTACAATGTCTCTGTGAATCATATCTGTGTATATGTGTCCATGCTGCCAAGACTGTGATATTTGAGGTGTGAGAGGAAATAAGAGGGACTTGCAGTATGTGCTGGAGTATGATATACATCTTGTGAGTGTGCGCGTGTGTGAATTCACGCATTTTTGTGTGACAGTCTTGTATCTAAGAATGTTCTCTCCCGTCTCCCTTTTTCCCCTCCTGACTTAAGGTGCAATGATTTACAGTGTGCTGCCACTTAGTATCTAACCACGCAATCATATCCCTCGCCCTAATCCTATTTAATACCTTCTTTCTGGTAGGGATTTCGTCTGCGTAAACAGAGCACCTTGCACACACACACACACACACACACACACACACACACACACATACACACACACACATACATGAACACACACCCACACAACCTTCTCTTTCAAGCTGTTTCTTTAATTTTTGTTTCTGCCTACATGTTGTAATCCTTGCATGGACACACACAAAAGCACACACACACACAAACGCACACACACAGACCCTGGGTGAAGGCTGACCACGCCAGTCCTGGCTGGGAGTCTGAGGCAAAACTCTTCCTCTTGGGATCCAATGACAATAGAGCCACACAAACACATGCGCACACACACACACGCATCTGCACAAACACACACACACACACACACACACACACACACACACACACACACACACCTGTTATGACTGGTCGACGAAAGCACTCACATGTGCAGACACAAATACGCCAAGTTTTGGCAACATAAGGCCACAATTAGACCTGGAGGAACTGCAGGCGGAAATAGGAGGGTGCGAGAGGAGGTTTTTGTAACACGAGTGCTGAGAAAAGTCGGTCTACAGACGGTGTGTTCTTGTCCGGGATGTGGAAAAAGAAGATGTCAAAACATGTGTACTCATGTATGTTTATGAATATACAACACAGGCTGGGCAGCTGCATGTGCTTCCTCTGTATTTGTGACCGCGTGACACGAGTTGGTGAGAAAGACTGCGCTTCACTTCCAGGCCCGGTGTGGGGGCCCTAATGCTACCCGCCAGCCACTCAGGCCTTGCTAGGCTGTGGCTAGCTAGCAAGCTAGCTAAAGGAGGTGTTTATCTGCAGGCTGTAGGTGATAACAGAGCACACAGACTCCTGCCAGCAGCACTTGCCTTGCAGCCACACTAAGCCACAGATTACTGAGCAGAAACAATAACAGACCTGTCTCGCTGCCTACGAAGCACTGCTTATCCACAGAGAGAGGGGCGAGACGGACGAGAGCGAGAATGGAAGAAAGAAAGAACACAGAAAAAGGAACGAGGGCTTCTCTTTTCCCCCTCTCTTCTCATGCAGAATCTCCCGCTCCTCTGCGTCTCTCTCACTGGCTGGGTGTAATCCTGGCAGCCATCTTAGAGCTTGGCAGCCATCTTAGCATTGGCGGTAGCGCCACATTCCAGCTAACTGACGGCACTCACTCCAAACATACGAGGCTGCGCCCCCAACGCGCACGCACCCAGACACTTTCAAACACAGACACACACACACACACACACACACACTCCTACGTGGACAAACACTGAGGTACACACTCAAGAGTAAACATATATGATGGCCAATGAAAGCTGTTGAGAAAAACAACCTGACTTCACTGGACCTTTTGCCGTCATGTAGTATTTCACCACAGGGCTCTACAATATTGTAAACAGCCTATTTCTCACACCATACATGCACTGGGTAGACACACAGCCACCTTACTGTATGCGCAGTATGCTGGAGAGATATCTGAGTCCAACGGCTAAGTTTGCAGGGTACGCTTTGCTGCCACAAGACTTCAACGGGAACGTACGATCACAGATGGAGGCTCAAGGTACAAATGTCACATAACAGAAGAAGAAGAAGTCACTTCTTAGCAACGCCTGCTTCTATTAGGTTTTTATTACTCTACTGTCATATCTACTGACTATGTTTCAAGGCTTTCGCAAAGGCAGGTTTGGTAATATTGTTGCAGAAATTCTCTTTGCATCCTGACAGCAATCAACGTGTCAAATCTCTGACAAAAAGAAAGAAAGACATAAGGTATCTGTGTCTGTTGCAGCACTGTAATAAGCCCGTCCAATCAGGCTCGAAGGGACGGGCTGTCAGTGTTGCCGACAACTTTCTTGCTAGATTGAGCAACGTTTGGCGCTAGTGCTGCTAGCTACTATCATTGGAGGAGAGTTGGCAACACTGGGCTGGGTATTTCCTAAAATCTAGGGTACTCTTGCTAGTTTCTCAGGATTACCAACCCTGCCTTTAATGTTCTTCACTTATGAAATGTGGATTTTGTTTGTCTGATTGTATCTACCTGCTGACAGAACCAATGCCATCTGGCTTCAGCATTTTTGTATATCTACATTCATGCTACGCAATCAGTTGATTGTTTTTAACAATACCAATGGCATCAAGATGAAACAATCTAAGTGTGGTGCACGATGCTCAGTTATGTTTAGATTTAATGTGAAGATGAATGAAAATGTAAGTTTTAATTAGTGCTGAGTCTGTTCCTGGTACCTGCTAAATGTTACAAAGACCCATAAAGTTTATCTCGACAGCTAAAAGAACAAGTTCAGACCTTCTTACCATAACAGATTAACACCATGAACAACTTGCTATCTTTATTTAAGGACTACATTTCCAAGATGTCCCCTACTTTGGAATCATATACTGTGTATCTTACTAAGTAACAGAGGACAGTTGTTTTTCAGTGTGGACATATCACATTTAGGAAAAACCCTGCACTTGGAAATCCTGCCCACACTGTTCTCTTAAATGGCGCACCGGTGGCCTGTCATGACCCCAAAATGTTCTGCTATTGCAGAGGTGTGAGAGACCAATGAGTGAAAACTGAGGCTCATGGTAGATAAGAGACTGTCAGGGTGAACATGTGCAGTGGCAGTGACACTGATAGCTGTCCTCAACATCACCCCGAGGCCTCGAGAGGCCAAACCGCATCGGCTCTCAGAGTACGGACGACGGGAGGATACAAGTTGGTTTACAGCGCGACGACTACTTTTTCATTCCTTGCTAGAAACCAGAGCTTTCAACAGTTCTAGTCTTCTGAGCTCGGGCTGCTTAGTCAACTAACACTGCACTTACAATGCAGCACTACATCAGTCACTGGAAATCAGTGTCACTGTGGAGTCCAACAGTGCATCATATAGCTGGGTAGACAAGTGAAGAGGACAGGGAGAAGGTGGCAAGACAGAGGAGGTCTGGTTGCTGGTTATCACCGCTTTGCCAGCTGCTGCCTACAACAGCAGCCCCCCCCCCCCACACTCCCTCCCCAGCCTCCTAACCACACATCCAGCCTCTTATCTTCCCACCGCAGCCCCCCAAAGCCCTCCCTTTAGCAACCCCAATCATAGTCCTGCAGTCCCCTCTGGATGCCCCTCCACCTCCACCGCCAGCAAGCCCATCTCTAACCTCAAACCTTTCACACCAGTGTATTAAAACAAAAATACACACAGATTAACAGTGTCCAGTGTTTGACCCGATGATGTACAAATAGAAACAAGAAGCACATGTAAGGCTGTGCTTCATTTTTGATAACCAACTGTTTGGCAAACGTGATTAAACACTGGAACCATCACATTTGAGGTTTTCCTCTAAAAAAGTGGTTTGTGCTTTGGGCCTTTCGGGTCTCCGCATCAGTCATCTACACCTGTTTCACCTGGTTTTACACTAAGCCCCAGTCCCACCCGCACTGGATTGGCAAGATCGACTCTACGTGGTTCAGTAAATGAGTCGATCTTGATGAAACAGTTTGGGGCAATGGGGTGCCACAGGCATGAGCAGAAACATGGCTTTCCCCACCAACTTGGTTAAAAATACATTTTTCAAGTCAGACGTTAAGATTTAAACACAATTCTATAACTTAGATTTTTGCTTCGTGCTCAATTCCTCACTTGCACTCACCAATGTGAAATTGGCGTGAAACACCTTTCAAGTGAGAGTAAGTAAGGTGCACATTTTCAGCAATTGATATGAATAAAAACATTTGAAAAGTCATGCTTCTACTAAATCTTGCTCTGTATTGCGGAGCCAATATAAACGAGCGGCTGGTGGAGACGGCGAGATCCAGTTCCAGTAAGATGAAAAGACTGGGATCAATTTGGTAGCAGTTGGCAGACCAAACCTGCGCTGATATTCAACCAAAATTTGACAAGTAGCAAGAAATATGAGCAAATGTTTGCTCACATGTTAGCCCTTTAGCACATGGCAAGTTGATACGTCGAGGCTTGCCAGGTGGTGAGTTTTCTGGGAGTTTGCTCTCTAACTGTAGTGATTCTTTGTGGCTGCAGCTTCGTGGCGGCTGCTGTCATTGGTTGCTGATTACAGAGTTTCCCTGCAGGCTCCGGGGCAAATCTCACGACCCTCACCGCAATCAACATAACCCCAGTCATCACGGCCTTGACACTGTACCTCCCACTGTGGGTGCTCTCACCCTCTCACGATCCCATACCATCCCTCTGACATCCGGCGCGCATTTCTGTGGCGTGCCTCTGCATTAATTCAATCTGGACTGCATTCTCATCCTTTTTTTCTTGGTTTTATGGTTGACATTCTTATCCGGTCTTCTATAAGCATCTCCATCCCTATTCTCAACCAACACGACGAATCATTCTCAAGCCCCACCCCCTCTTCTATTCATTCTCTTCACTACTCTACTCTGTTCCCCTTAATTACCTGCTGTACTGTTGATCTCCAGGTTCAGAAAACAAAACAAAAAAAAACTGTTACCCTGTCTATCAAACCACCCAACCAACCAAGCCACCATCCATCCACCAGTTGTGGATTAGGTTTTGGCTCAGTGAGCTGTTAAGATTGTGCTGTTGACCGACTGGTGACAGGG